TGTTTCTAACAATGGTAGAAACGCATACCAGTCTTACCATAACAACCCAAAATGTAACAAAATGAAAGTGCATGTCTTTAACAACTACATATTTCGAATGTGACTACTATCTAATGCATTCAAAACAAACTATTTTATCCAATACATTAATCAAAATTCAAAAAAGTTAAAAGAGAAACTTACTCAAAAAAAAGTGTTAAGGATGAAAAATATTGAATATAGTAAGTAAAGTGAATTGGGATTGAAAACTTGAAATAGAGGTAGTGTTGTTCCTTGAAAAATGGACCGGAAGAATGTTGCTCACGAACTCCAATGGATCTCAAAAGTTTTAGAAAATGAAAAAGGAAAAGATAGAGGATTTGTCGCGTGCATTATATATTAATTAAATGCGCTCAGAGATGTATATCAGAAAAAATACCTGAATTTAAAAATAAGGGTTAAACTAAAGATGCATTTACGAACAAACTCTAAAACACACACGAAGATGCATCTCCAAATTAAATTTTGATTAAGTGAGGAAAACTCACCATTTTGCGCTTATTTTGTGAAAAAACGTGCGTTTGAAGATGCATATTTGAAAAATATTTTTTACTTTTTGTCAAGGATTAAAAACCTATAGAGATGGAAAAAGAAATTCCTTTACTTATGTTTTAATATCAACTATGGATCTGTTTCTCTCAACTTTAAATATTTTTTTTACTTTAAAAATGAATTTATAAAAATATTTATTTAAATATTGCAGTTTTTAAAAAAAAAAATTTGAAATTAAAAGATTAATTTTACCATTTTATAACATAAATATATATTATTAAATATTAAAACATAGTCGAAATTATAATTTTTTAAAAAAATTGCATCTCAAATAAATTTTATAAAAAAACCATTTGAAATAGTTTTAAATGATTTTTTGAAATTTTAATATTAAAAAAATCAATAAAATAATAAAATATTTAAAATAACATTTTAAAAATAATTATTAAAAACATATTTTAATTTGAACTTTTTATTAAAAATTTATGTAATTTTTTTTAAATAAAAATATATATAACTATAAAAAATCATTTAAAAAAAAACTAAATCAAACTGTCTCTGTACTCAGTTTTATATTTAATCATTCATTTCTCTAGAAATACTGGTTTTTTAATTTTATTATGATGCAATTAAGTTAACCCTTAATCTCTTTAAAGAAACTACAAAACAGAGAAGGCGAAAAACAAACATCGATCAGAAACATAATGAACTACTAAAAACAAAATATTTCTCAATGTTACTGATGAGAAGAAAAAAGAAATGCAACAGAAGAAGATGAAGTAGTAAATGGTGGAAAAGAAAAGTTGAATGGCAATTATTTTAAAGATTGAATTGATAATACACACAAATAGTACAAAATAATTTTATAATTTTTTTTTTCAAAGCATCAAATCACATCTTATAGTATAAAATCATTTTTTATATTAAAAAAACAATAATATAACATGACACTAGGAATGTCAATGAACGGGATGGAAATAGGAGATACATTCTCATCTCAATTTTTGTTCTCAAATTTACTCTCTATCTCCATCTCAGATTCCCGATACGAGAAAATTTTGTCTTCTGTCCACAGATCCCCACAGTTTCTACAGAGATCTATAAACATAAATATTTATTTTTTATTTTTAACTAAATTAATAAAAAAATTCAAATACTAACCACGAAAAATTAATAAACTAATCACCTACGATAAATATATTATTTTAATAATATTTAATTTTGAAATTCACGAACACCAAACTTTCAAATTTAAAAAAAATAAATTGAAATAATCATTTACTCTCTCCGTAATGAATTATAAAGAAAATTGTTTTTTTTTTGTATATTTAACAATTAATTTATGTAGTTCATATTGACTTTTTTGATATATTTGAAAATTAATGTATGTAGTTTATATATAGACTACATACATTAATTATCAAATATATTTAAAAAGTCAATTTTCTTTATAATTCGTTACGGGTGGAGTAGATCTCTCTCTTTTACTAACATATGTGTTTTACATTTGTTTATGAAATATATTATTTGAAATGACAAATACACCTATATAGAAATATTAAATTATATATTAATTAACGATATTTTAGTATTTTAGTGTGGGGCATGGACTCTACGGGACGGGGATATGTTCGTCATCCTCATTTTCAAAATGCTTTCGGAAGAACTTTATTCTCCATCTCATCTCCGCGAGACGAAAATTCTCCATATTTAAAACCCCGAACGGAAAATCTTCGCAGAAATCCCCACTAATAGATACAAGTTGACATACCTATAAGACACATTGCTCCAATTAATGTGTAATTATAAGACACATTGCTCCAATTAATGTGTAACTCTTTGCCTATGGAAATAAGATCGATCAAACTGATATTTTGGTAGTTGATTAGCAAACTTGGGCCATGAGGGCTCGTGTATTGTTGCTACTTTCCCATCCTCAGAGACCATGTTAGGTAATCGATTGTTAATTTGGTCCATGTGGTGTAGACCCAAACTGTACAACTGATGCATGATGTCTTGATGTTTCATCTTCCTCCATTGGACCAAAAAGATAGTTCCATCTATCAATCTTGAAATGGGTGGAAAAGTGCTCATTAGTTAGATTTAGGGTTACATTCCAATATTCCGTAAATAACTATGGTAAAAAGGTTAACACTAAAATATAATGTTTGAAAGAAATGGAATTATGCAAGTGTAAACGAGAAAAATATCTAACCATGACTCAGAATAACACTTATAAATAAGAGACAATCAAAATCATTCTTAACTGATCCGATCACACTTATATATGAGACAAATAGAACAATTCCTAGCTGGTCAGATGAGGAATGCAAAAGACTATTTGATGCATATAAAAAATAATGAACTCGGGAGACGCACTCATATGCAATGTTCGAGAGCGCAGATGTTCACATGTAAGTCAGTTTGTAGAGAACTTTGTCTAAATAGAGCCGTTGTATTGAGCTGATTTTGTTAGATATTTGATCAACTCGAAACAGCATTAGCCAAAACAGCCATCCATTAACTTTTAACTTAAAATAAAATGTGACCCTTTGTGTCGATCCAACATCAATCTCACGTCATAAAGCCTAACTTGCTTATAAAATTTAGGAATCTCTGAGAAATTTTCTAGTAATTAGTCCATATAGAATTGTAATTTCTAACAAATTTATCAACTGAGATTTTGGCAAAAACAACATTTTATAACTTCAACAAAATTATTGTAACTTCATCAAACATATTGTATATCCAAACATGCAATGAACCAACTGTCAAAACCAAATATTCCTTTCTACACCAAATAGAATTGAGTTAGCAAGTGCAAGTTGGTCAAAACATATTTCCCAGCTCCTTAATCAATATTTGTTGGTTTCCTGGACACTCATTCCAACTAAATATGAAATATAACTGAGGTGTGTGATAGTTGAATGGATGGGAGATTCCTAGTTAAGAGGGTAGGCCTTAATTGAATCCCAGCAACAAACAAATGTCTAACGAAACAAACAAAATATACAAAGATATTGAGAGGGTTAAGATATCACTGAGATACAGAAGCCAAAGGGTGACATGTCAAAACCAGTCTTTATTGTTAAGGACAAGACATAAATTGACGATGTAGCTGTATGGTTTCATTGGCCTGAGACATGCACGTTAACAAAACTTATCCGAAAAAGAGAATAGACCTCTTTCACTATAATCATATCATGGGAGAGAAGAGTTAAAAAGAAACAAAGAGATGGAGAGAGAGAGAGAGAGAGGGAGAGAGGAAGAGAACAAACCAATATAACCACTAGAGCTGTGGGCACTAGGTCAAAACATGTTTACCAGCTCCATAATCAATAATTGAATCCACCTTATTTATTTTCTCTCTCCCTCCATCACTTCCTTCTGATACACTTTCCATGCCCTTCTATATAATGATTGAAGCAATCCACAACTTCCCCTATGGGTAGCAAACCTGATTTTGATCACATGATGAGTTCTTCAATCTTTCTTCTATACTGTCTTCTCACATTCTCTTTGTATTCCATCTCCCAACACACAAGCTACAGTTATTCTCTCGACTTTACGCCAGCGAGGAAGTTAAGCATGTCATCCTCTGGCCATGACCACAAATATCATGAAACTCAGGTATGTTCGTCCGCAATTAATCATGTCAAAAGAATAAAAAGTTAAAAGATAAGCAGTGAGATGCAACTTACTATAAAGACAGTTTTCTCTGCAAGTCTTTTTCATCTCCTTAGTGCCTTCATACACCTCAGACTTGCCGCACACAACTAGTCATAGATCTCGATCATTTATATAAAGATCGAATGACTCATTCTGTATTTTAAAGCTGATCTAGTAGAGTCAGAATAGGAGTCATATGATCTTCATTCATCAATAAATATCTTTTCAATGTGTGTTTTCCTCGACTAAAGGAGATTGAGGTCCACCATTCCCCTCTTTCTTTATTGTTTCCATTTCTTAACATGGTGTATAAAATGCAGGTAGCAGATGAGAGAATGGAAAGTGCCCCTGCCAATGCAGATTTCACAACACTAGAAATTACCGGCAACAGTTACAGTCCTCGTGATCTTGTCTACCATACAGATTACCATGGAGTAACAACTCATCCAACTCCTAAACATCCAAAACCATAGGCTGCCGTTTTAATTTTGATTTGTGAAAGATATATGCAGACATGTATTCTAGTTCTTATGAACATATAAATGTAATGTAATGCACTGTGTGTATGGGGAGAGAAAAGAGTTATCTTTATATACTGGAACTCATTACATGATTCATTTTTCTTATCTAGTTTTTCAAATATATCAGTACATATGTAAGCTATATATAGAAACTTACAAAAACTGATGAAATGGTCACTAAGAGGCTACTGATGTCAAGTATTCCACTAGGTGAATATGATTCAGTAGTTCCTCACCAGAGCAGGGGAAAATGAAATGAAATAAAATAAAACAGTAGTATTATAACTTATCATGAAGTGAAATCATTCCATTTACATATTGCCTTCTTGTTTTTTTATACTTCTGAAGAAGCATCCTGTGACTAGTTACAATATCGTCAAATACCACCTCACTACAAAACCTAGACTTAACTTTCAGAAAAGCAGCCTCTAACTTGTCCTTGTGTTTGGCACACAACGAGCGTAGATCTTCAATAATGAAAGATCTATCCATGTATCCATTGTTGGCCTCTTTTTCCATACTAAGAACCCAAAGCCATTGGATTTGATCAAATGGATCTTTATTTTTCTGAATTGCAACCTCTATGTTGCTCAGCACTTCCGAGAATTTACATTCATTACGTATTTTATCGATCAAGTCGAGAAAATTTTTTCTCTGATTTTCAGTAAGTCTATTATAAACATCCGACGGCAAGGAATCTGCAGCAGACAAGTATGCTTTCCGGAAACTAGGATCAGAAGTGCTAATAATCCCAATGGCAACATGTAAAAGATTCACAGAGATGAGAACAAGTTTTTGGGACAGATAGTTGGTGGCATCACAACATGGTCTTTTCCAGTTTTCACTCCAGCAATGAAGAGTAAAATGAACTACTCCTTCCCACCTGCATTTAGAGTGATATAGAATGAGCAAAACCCGGATATCAAATCACCGGAGGTAAAACTTTTTTTTAAGATGCGGTATAATATTGTGAACCCAAGGAGAGCAAGTACAATCTTCCATTGGCAGTGATGCAGATGTTGCATTAATGAAGTGTATGTCACTACAGTACTAATAGTATCTTCAATCACCTCACTCATTTGCAAGTACAATTATCAATTTGAATTAAAACATAACATAAATATAGCAATCAAATAAAGTCGAAGGAAAAGAAAATTCAATCAGAAAAAGAATTTATAAATTCTTAGGAAGGCCTAATGGTTAAGCAATCTTTCCAAATAAAAGAAACCTAGTCATAACATATCTCTCATAACCAAACATAGTAAGTCCAAGTTTCACTCTCTTTGTGCGGGCTTGAGGACAAACCAACAGGAAGATGAAAGGTTGATAATATCATATACATCTTTATCAACAGGGTAATAATTTAGGTAGACTAAATACTATAAAAACTGGTCCATGAATCAGCTTTCCATAGACATGGGTCTCTGAAAGCTTGGCCCAGTGTCCTGCAGACAGACTTGTCTAATTATAAATGATTGATTTTAGTGTGGGTCACTCCACATGTATTGTTACAGTTCTCTGATTCAAAAACATATATCAAATGATTATTTTTATCAGTCGATATAGTGCAACAAAAAATAGATTGAAGAAAAGAAAAAATAAAAAATAAAAGTGTTCATAATTCTTGGAATCAATGGAAAATCTGAGAAATAATTACTAAGGAACACGAGGTCCACCCATGACTATGGCCATCATACAAAGACTGATGGACCAGCTTTGACTGGATAGGAAAGAAAGCACCAGGATGTAATGATTAGTTTAACATAAGCATGTTAACCAGCGATAGTGGTCTAGTAGGATTCTCAACTGAGCAACGTGGAATTTTGTTTTCAGAACATCTCTTATTTTTACATTAAGAAAATTTGAAAATGGTAGTATATGAGGATTTGTGAAGTCATATGTTATGAGAATTAAAATATGAATTAACTGCTTTCATATAGGCATATAAATTATAATACACACACTAGTCGACAGGATTCAGATGTGTGAGATGTACCGTTCTCCTAGCTTCTATTGCCACCTCAGCATAACTAATCAAAAGTTAGTTATAACTGGGTGTAGGTTAGAGTACCCAAGGGTGTAAGATTAGGAATGCTATATAAATCTCTAATCCTCATTTGTAACACATTCAGCTTTCTAATAACTGAACATTCAAAGACTGAAAAACTTTTCCCTCTATTTTCTCTCTTCTTACATGGTATTATAGAGCCTCAAGATCAATGGCAACCGAAACTCCTTCCACCATATCACCGCCCTTACTAGTGTGTAATCAGTGGCGTCTCCTACTGTCTCTGCTCTTCCCAAAATCGCATTTCAACTAAAAATTTATGAGAAATTGGATGAGAAGAACTTCCTCATGTGAACATTCAAAGACTGAAAAAATTTTCCCTCTATTTTCTCTCTTCTTACATGCTATTATAGAGCCTCAAGATCAATGGCAACCGAAACTCCTTCCACCATATCACCGCCCTTACTAGTGTGTAATCAGTGGCGTCTCCTACTGTCTCTGCTCTTCCCAAAATCGCATTTCAACTAAAAATTTATGAGAAATTGGATGAGAAGAACTTCCTCATGTGGCATAAATAAGTCGAGCCTATGATCAACGTGCAAAATCTATAATCCTTCCGCATTTTCCCTGAGATTCCTCTTCAGTTCCTTTTGAGTGCAGATCAATCGGAAAGAATTGAAAACCATGCATATCATTGTTAGAACATAGTTTGATTCTACAACCCTTGTAAGAATTTTGATGATTACAAAAACAAAGAACATTTATGCTCCCTAAAATTATATTTTGTTTTGTAGAGAAGTTCTGACGGAAGAAGATCAGAAAATAAGTTACAAAGTTGTTTCTGCTGTGATGGTAAACATCTCTCAAAAAGTTCTGATGAAAGAAGATCAGAAGATGCGTTAAAAGGATGTTTCAACTATGATTATAAAACTCTTTGAAAGAAGTTCTAACGCTGCAAACAGGATTTCATGGCTCTGATCTCCAAAGTTCTGAAGCAAGCAGCAACGGATACTTCAATGTTCTGAAGCGTTACAAATCAAACATTTCCATTTCAAGAGTAACGGCTGGAAGGGAATAAGGATCTTTATTTTTGGAAAGCGCCTTAATTGTCATTGATCAAGTTTCCAAATGCTCATCCATGCTTCGCCTATTTAAACAGCATTGAGGATAAATCGTTCACGATTTACACACGCACAACAACGCTGCTATCATCTTTCATTCTCAAACGTTCAACATTCAATTTTGTGTAAAACATCATTGTCTTGTAATACTGTTTAATTAGAAACATTACTGTACACTTTATTCATACATTGTTTAGAGAATTTCCTTGAGAAAAATCGGGTTGTGGTTACACTCAAGAAGACTTTGGCAGTTGTCAAAATAGATTTGTAATCAAGATTGATTAGTGAATTAAGACCTCGTTGGAAAGAGGCGAAATCACCTTGGCGGGTGGACTGGAGTAGTTTGAGTTCAAACAAACCAGGATAAAAATCAACGTGTTCTTTTCATTAAGTTTTAAGATCCCAATTCAACCCCCCCTTCTTGTGTTTTCCATTCTTCAATTGGCATCAGAACCAGAGCGCCTGGTTCTAAGTTCAAGCACTTAACCGTGTCAGTAAAAGATCCAAGCTAAGGAAAACACTATGGTGGGGCCAAGTCAAAACATCAGCAGTGACTACCATGATGAGAAAGAAGAAATCAACGGCAAACCTCCAATCTTTGATGGAGAGAACTTTGACTACTGGAAAGACAGAATTGAAAGTTTCTTTCTGGCTCAAGACGCTGATCTCTAGGATATGGTGATTGATGGGTACATGCATTCTGTTGATGAAAGTGGTCAGAAGATTGACAGAAAAAGAATGTCAGATCATCAAAAGCGAGACTTCAGAAATTATCACAAGGCCAGAACTATTCCCTTGAGTATCATCTCATACTCAGAGTATGAGAAGATCACAAACAGAGAGACAGCAAAGCACATGTTTGATTCCTTGAGAATGACGCATGAAGGCAACACGCAAGTCAAAGAAACCAAAGCCCTTGCGCTCATTCAGAAATATAAAGCCTTCAAAATGGAAGAAGATGAAACCATTAAAACAATATTCTCAAGATTTCAAATTCTGATTTCTGGACTAAAAATTCTGGACAAAGGGTACTCAACTGCTGATCATGTAAAGAAGATCATCAGAAATTTACCAAAGAAATGTAGACCCATGGTCACTGCTCTCAAACTGGCAAAAGATCTGAACAAAATATCTTTAGAAGAACTTGTCAACTCTCTCAGAAGTCATGAGATAGAATTAGAAGATGATGAGCCTCAGAAGCAAGGTAAGCCTTTAGCTCTTAAATCTAACAAAAAATATGATTCTAAAGTTTTGCAGACAATAGAAGAAAACTCTGGTGGTTCCTCATCAGAAGAAGACGAATTATCCCTTCTCTCCATAAGAGTCAATCAGCTGTGGAAGCACGGGCAAAGGAAATTCAGAAATTTCAGAAGAACAGGGAATCAGCCTGAATCATCGTCTGGATACAGAAAGTCTGAACCATCTTCTGAATACAGAAAATCAAGAAACAGAGACATTGTCTGCTACGAATGCAATGAACAATGGCATTACAAAAGCGAATGTCCAAAGCTTCAGAAGGAGAAACCTAAAAAGAAGTTCGTTAAGGAGAAGAAAAGTTTCATGGCAACATGGGATGACTCAGACTCTTCAGAAGCAGACACTGAATCAGAAGATGAAAGAGTCAACATTGCCCTGATGCCAAACATATCAGAAGATACTGAATCATTTGGATCTGAATCAAATTCAGAGGCAGAAGAGGTATTTATTAACTTTTCTAGATCTCAATTAGAAGAGAGTCTGTCAGAAATTCTAGAAAGGTATCAGAAACTTCGAGTCATAAACAAGAACCTGAAAAAGGATCTAGTTTTTGACTCTGAAGAAACTAAGAATCTGAGAATGGAAAACTCTGAGCTAAAAGAAAAAATTTCAAAGCTTGAAAATGAATTACAAAATACTCAGAAGAAAACTATCTCAGAAGTTCCTAGTAACCCTAATAAGATCATAAAGGAATATGATCACAGCTTTCAGAAATTCCTCGCTAAAAACATAGATAGAAACAAGATGGCTTCAATGATCTATGGAGTTAGCAGAAATGGTATAGGATATAAAGATAAAGTATCTCAACTTAAGAAAGTTAAGGATTTAGTTATTAAACGCACTCCTCTAAATCCTCTAACAAACAAGGACCCAAAAAGATATGGATACCTAAGGATAAAATTGTCTATGTTGCAGATATCTTTGACAGCAAGACTGAAACACCAATCCTGGTACCTGGACTCTGGATGCTCTCGACACATGACGGGAAGAAAACATATGTTCCAAAGCCTAATTGAGAACTCAAGTTTTATCTTTATTTTCGGAAAGCGTCTTAATTGTCATTGATCAAGTTTCCAAATATTCATCCATGCTTCGCCTATTTAAACAAGCTTTGAGGATAAATCGTTCACGATTTACACACACACAACAACGCTGTTATCATCTTTCATCCTCAAACGTTCAACATTCAATTTTGTGTAAAACATCATTGTCTTGTGATACTGTTTAATTAGAAACATTACTGTACACTTTATTCATACATTGTTTAGAGAATTTCCTTGAGAAAAATCGGGTTGTGGTTACACTCAAGAAGACTTTGGCAGTTGTCAAAGTAGATTTGTAATCAAGATTGATTAATGGATTAAGACCTCGTTGGAGAGAGGCGAAATCACCTTGGCAGGTGGACTGGAGTAGTTTGAGTTCAAACGAACCAGGATAAAAATCAACGTGTTCTTTTCATTAAGTTTTAAGATCCCAATTCAACCCCCCCTTCTTGTGTTTTTCCATTCTTCAACCATCCTTAGATCACACAAGATCAATGGTTACTCTCGTGGCTTCAACCCATGTTATCTGGATCTATCGTGACACGATTTGTTGGTTGTATTCCCGTTCATCAACTCAGGGATCGTAATTTTCGAAAATTGATCTGTGTTTGTGCAAGGCAACTTAGGTGAGAATCGCATGCAACAGCGCTCTTTGATGGATCTATGGAGGATTATTTCCTTCGCAGCGCCCCTACATCTTATGCCCCTGCACAGCTACCAACTAAGCTGACTTAACGGGACTGAAAACAAGTTTGAATTGGTGCAATTGGAGGAAGTTGAAGGTATACTTCTTGCACGTGAGATGTGTTTTGACAATTTAAGGGGAAATCAGTCTATTCAAACAACAAAAATAAGCCTATTCAACCCCCCTTCTAGACTTTGACCACCATATTCAACCAACACCTATAGCTCCCTTGTCATTGTAAAATATTTGCAGTAAAGTTTGGTTCTACTTATGAATTATAAATACACATGGCAATTATGGCATAGTTGCATAAAGTCTAAAAGTTTATGAAACATGAAAAACTATGTATTTCCTCTTTATCTTAAATTGTGTTTCTTCCTAATATGAGTGCATTCATGTAATAGAATAAGAGAGAAATTGGCAGATTCAGATTTGAACTTACCACACAAAAACCTGATCAACATCTAGTCAACCATTGCCATTTTCATTACATGAGAAAAAGTATAATTAACAGCACTTAAATTTTATATGAGAAGGAAAAGAAGACAAAAGAAAATTAATATAAAAAAAGGGGCCATATGAAACTTAATTATGTTGTAATTGAAAAAAACGGCAATTTGTATAAGTATAACTCAAATCATCATAACTGAGCTTATTATAACCTATAAAAAATAGTTTAAGTTAACATTTACTTACTCAAAAGGAGGTTCAACCTCAATACTGAGCGTAAGGTGCAACGAAAATCCAGGAGAACCATTATCAACACCATAATTTGTATAGGCCTCATGTGGAAAACCTCTGGGAATATACAAAACATCGCCCTCCCTGAGGAAGAACTCACTTCTACCAGCTTTTGTACAGTCAACATCAGAACCACAGAGATTATCATATAAGCGGGGTAATAGCTGACCAGGTCGAGAATATACTGTCCACTTCTTCGAGCCAAAAATTTGGCAGACAAATACACAGTGATCATCAAAGTGACGGGCCAAACCCTGAGAATTAGATGGTGTTAAGTACAAATTGGCACCTACTGAAGGTTGGCCAAACATAAGTGCTAATGCATCGGCAATAGCAGCAATACTCCGATACCGAAACTCCAGACCACGCAGAGCAACAGTATAACCCTCTTTATAAGCTTGCTCACACTTTAAGACATCTTCAGTAGTTAAACACAGAGGTTCCTGAAAGTAATGAGTCTCTTTTCTCGATTGGCTCTCAGTTTTTACAACTCGGATATCCTGCTGGTAGATTATAGGACAGCCAATTCTATCTTTCACCTCATTCAGAAAATTGAGGATATTTTGCTCCTCTGAAGCAATAGGAAAACAAGACACAAGACCTTGTAGAGTTGAATGAAGGAGGGAAGGAACACTCCCATTCCAGTTCAAAGATTGTATAAATGGGTTAAACATATCATTCACTTTGAGATCCTCCAATGTTCTGGTTAGAAGAAAAGGCGAAAATTCCCAATAATTTGACATAAAATCTTCAAAACTAGTATCACTTGTACCAAAAAGACCTCTTTGAACCACTTCAAATGGCAAAGAGACAGTAAGTTGTGAAGCATAAATGGAAACCCTAAAGATGCTTTCGGCAAGATCACTAACTCCAATGTGACTCTTACAAACATGTACTTCATCATTAGATTTTACAGCACCTTTGATTAACAAATTATGACTAGCATTTGCCCTTATCTCTTTTAGAAGGCTCAGGATTGCTTCAGAAAGGCTTTTGGGGATATTGTGTAGTTGCTTAAGATCACAAGCATTGATAAGAACAGTAATTGCACTGAGTAAAGCCATTGATAGTTCATCCTCCCTAAACCCAATCTTAAGAGACTGAAAACTTTCATTTCTATCGGACCATAAACAGACAGATTCCAGGCGCTTAAAAATCTGAAGAAACACAAACCTAAGGAAATTTTCAATATATACAAAAACAACAACAAATTTTCAATGGTAACATTTTTCTTTTCTCATTTATTTTTTTCCAAAACAGTGATATATTTAAAAAGCGCGATAGAAATAAAAGAATTGCGGGTTAGGATCTCACTGGATAAACAACTTTTAAGCACTTGGGATAACTTACATCACAAGTACTTATCATATACTCTCCCATAATTGAATTACAAGCAAAAAGCTATTTGAAAAGTTGATGCAACCTGTCTAACGATTTTACTTATATTTCATTTCTCGGAGTTTGGCATATGACATATTTAGGTTCTTTTTGGCATGACATATTTTTGAAATTATAGTTTATAGTTTATAAGCTCATGTGACAATAAAAGACATATTTGTTAACGGTTTTTTCATCACAAACTTATAGCTTATTTTAGCTTATAGCTTATCATTTTTTCTTCCACTTCTACCCTTATTTTTAACTAAAATTCATTTTTACGCTTTATCTTAAATATCTTTTTTAGTATTAATTAAGAAATATACTACCTTAAACTTTGTGCAAAAAAATATTCTATAAGTGACACTTAAAAAGGAACGGAGGGAGTATTAGTCATCAGCCAATAGCTATAAGCTAGCTTGCAAGCCTAGGCTACTTTTACCAAACAGAGCCAAATTCACTTAAATATAAGCTACTTCAGTTACATAAAATAGAGTTAAACTATTTTCATATAAGCTAGAATTGGTTTTCATAAACTATGAGACTATGAAAATATACTGCAACAGCTTATGGACCTTCCAATGTCGTTTTCATAAATTCTCCCAAAGATTCTCTACTTAGGCATAAGCTAAAATAAGTGAAAACAAACAAACCCTAAAATAAAGTGCAATAGCTTACATCAGTTTGTGTAATGCAGAGAAAGTGATAAGCTGTTGTTGAGCAAAGGTGGTGATAGACAAATCCAATACAGCATTACAAGCAGAGAACAAAAGATCTCTATCGGAACTCTCCAACAGAGAGATTAATCCCCTAACTGTTTCCGAATCGGTAGCGATTTCCTCATTGAGTTCGAGGGAAGCGAGCGAGGCGGCGCCAACGACATTAGCGGCGCGGATTGCGATTTTGGAGTGTGTGGAAGAGAGGAGAGATGGAAGTAAGGCGAGGATGGGTGTGACGGAGGATTTGGAGAGGAGAAGAGAATTGCGAAATATGAATAAGCATTTGTTGATGAAGGGGAGAGTGGCTTGGGGTTGGTTTGAGAGGGATGCGAGTAATAAGGCGAATAGGGTTTCGAGATCGGAGATCTGAGATATGGAACAAGAGCGTTTTCTTTTCTTCTTCACGGAAGGTGCAACCGCATGCTTCTTCATTCTTCTTCCACCAGATGCAAATGCCTCTCTTCGCGAACAGACCCGCTTCTTTCATTTATCAAGTTTTAATAGCTTTCATTTAAGTATTTATGTATCATTGCGTAATAATTTGTTACGATTTTTAATTTTTTAATCATTTATTACACATTGTGACTATTATGATTTTATTTAATGTATATTTTGAATTTGAATTCACGGTACATACATAAAAGTGGAATATGAAAAATCACTTTAAAATTAACCTGCAGCATCAACTTCCCATCAATTCTTTTTTTAACGAAGACGTATTAAGACTACTTATAAAAATAATCCTTATCCGCAACATTCCGCAATTTTTTATTGGGCATTCTATTAGAGCTATTTCACAAATCATATCTCTTTTTCTAACTCATCATTTACTTTTCATATTTATCTCATTCTTTGTTTTTCTAATCCATTGCTTCCAACTCTTCCACTTCCAACAACAACAACAATAGTCGTTGTGTTTTCATACTTATTTTTTTTCGATTCCACTAAGGAACAAAATTAACAAGATGTTCCAGAATTTGATTGTTGTTGTTATGGACATTTTGGGAAATGTTTTTGGTTTTATAGCTCCGTTGTGGATTGCGGCTATCTTTGGTATTGTTGTTGGTTGGGCTTGGAAACCTAAATAGGCTATTGAACCTAATAGCTACGATTGGAGTACTTTCTTCAAGTTTTAGGTTCCTTGGAGTAATGACTCCGAGCTTCTGCATCAACCCGGTTTTTCGGATAAGTTTGTTTGGTTTTCTTTCATTTGTATTTCATTTTGTTTTAGTTTGATTTTATGTGACTATTTGGCTGATTCACATTCAATTCCTTACTAATTTTATTGTTGGAGTTGATTTGAAATGGATTTGTTGATTGTGATTTTTATTAATTGTTTCTTTTGTTGTTGTACTTTTATGATGGAGTCGTCATCCAGAGGTTAAGTTGGCTTAGAGAGTAGACAAGATTTACATCACGGTTCAATTGGCTGATGCCAAACATGTTGATTATGAAGTTATTGTCATCAGCTTTGATGAAGAATCTGAAGTGAGAGATAAACATCCTAACAAGTAACTGATGATTTTACAATTGTCTATGTGTTTCGACATTGATTTGTTTATTTATGTAAGCCGTTAGTAATTGATTTTTGAACCGGAGTTTACTACAGTTACGAAATAATAATTCAACAAACTAAAGAATCTCACTGATTTGTGAATGATATAAAATGGTATAATTTTTATAGAAATATGTGTTTATTATTAACTTCTGAAATCAATGTGTTCATTTTTCTACAGTCGGATAGATGGAAGCATTTTATCGTACAAATATTGTATTTATGATTTTCCGATCAAATTTTATATTTTTGAAGGGATGTGCATGAAACATCTTCTGGACTGTTAGGCGCTCTCTATGCACTCTTTCAGAAAGAAAATTTTGTTGTTGTTGCAACAATAAAAACAAAAGGCTTCTATGTACTTACGAATTTGTTAGTAATTGGAATTGTGCATGTACATTGTTGTGGATGTTAGTTATGGATATCCACATGAAGTAGAGTTAATATCCACAAGCACTTAGACATGTCTCCATCAATGAAGATTAACACCATCACTGTTTATCTGTTTTGGAATAACGAACGACAATATTGTATCAAATAATGAAGTATTAATGGTGATCAATATGCATATAATCATTATGATACAATTGACATATTGTACATGTTGTTTATTTACATATACCATTTAAGTGTTTTTTATCTATACGTTGAATGTTCTAACCTGCATATATATATATATATATATATATATATATATATATATATATATATATATATATATATATATATATATATATATATATATATATATATATATATATATATATATATATATCATTGGATCTATAACTAAATTTTAATATTTTGAATATCTTATTTAATAATGAAATATTTATAATTTGTTGTACTTGCAAGCTCGGATAATGACATGGATGGTCACCCCTAAATTGTCAATTTGTTTTATTTGTTGTGGTCAAATTGTCAATTTGTTTTCATGTAATTGGTATTGCCAATTTGTTTTCATTGAGTTTATATGTGCTCTTTTGTTTGGTTTCCTCATTAATTTCGCACGAAACATCCTTGAGGGTCATAACAAGTCTATTAAACACCACTCAGGTAAATTAACATACAAAAATGTATACATAGAATTTGTATTTAGAAACCTTTTTAAATTTCGTATAAAAAATTCATATTTCTTTGTGATATAGGAAATGGTCATAGTCCGTCATGATGCAGATTAGCTTAAAGACAATAATAAATTATCTTTTCTTCCAGTATGCATGTGTATACGTCTGTTTTAGAGAATTATTTCATTTTAGCATATGAAAAAGGAAGGTTGAAGATGTTAATGTTTCCGTATATCAAATTATGGTAAAAGATGGAGTAGTTTAATTATTTTTTGAACCAATTTTAATTGTCAATTTATATATTATGTTCATTTGTTTGGCTGGATTAACAACAATGAGTAGGTTTACTCCTACTACATTAAAAAAAAAAAATTTTTTTTTAATAATAATAAATTTTTATTATTTTATGTACAGTTTAACATTTTTTTCTAATTAACAATATATTTTAATTTTGTAAATACTTTTTTATACTACAAACATTAAACATTTTCAATATTGGAGCTTTTTTTTTAAAGATTAATAATTACACACCTTCAATGTAAAAGATTTTTAAATATATTTTTATTGAGACTACTAAGCATAATAAATATATTTAAATATATTTTAAATATATGGGAATAAATAATTTTTTATTTTGGAATTAATTTAATATAACATTTTAAATCTGAGATCCTAATATTTATTACACTATCCAATAGACATTAATTAATGTGATACTTTAAAATATATGGAAATAAATATATAATATTTACCATATGTTTTAAATTTCTATATTTTTATAATTGTACATATTTAGATCTAATTACTCTATTAATATATTCAAAAAGATATATGTTTAATTTCTTAATTAAATTATATTTTTTTAACTTATAAAATTACTAAAAACAATTTTTTTAAATTAAATTTATTATGATAATCATGATAAATAAAAATGATAAATGATATTCATGAAAAAATATGTTAAATGGAGTATTCAAGAAAAAATCATGATAATGAGAAAAAGTTTATTGATATAGAAATAATAATTTAAAAAAATAATAATTAAAAAGAATAATAATTAAAAATGATTTTTATGAATTTATTTAAAAGTATCATAGACAGAAAAAAAATCATACCATATATAATATTATGATATGATATAAGAAAAAAGAAAAAATTAACTCCTTCTAATTTAATATGATTTTTTTAAAATCTAATAAATAAAAGAAAATATTATTTAATATTAAATCTAATTTACCTAGAAAGAGACTTATGCTCAAGAAACCAAGTAAGAGACTTCTTTTGCTCAAGCAACCTAACAAGAGACTTTCACTAAACTTCTAAACAAGCAGTTTAGATGAATAGACGACAAGATGGACTTTGATATACAATCAGATGTGCACAAAGAATACAACATAATTAAAGACTTCAACACTTGAGGTTTCTAAAAATATACAAGGATAAGAAATATCAAGTCTATGTGCAATACAACATAAAGTATATATGAAAGCTTATAGTTCTTTTCGGTTCTTAGTGTTTGTTGTATCTGTTAGAACAATGTTTGAATCTACTACCCTAAGTTAAAGTTTTGATGATAACAAAATACAAGATTATATAAATTGTATGATTCATGTAAGACATATATGCTACCTAAAAATTATGTTTTGTTTTACAGAAACTCTGATGAGTATCAGCATGAGAACATCATCATCAGCATCAGAAGATGATAGATCAACATCAGCATCAGAAGATGTTATATCAGATATCAGAATCAGAAGATCAAAGCATGTGCTTACGCTGAAGCTTGATGAACAAATCTACGCGTAACATCTAAACTCTGATCAAGACCACAACGCTTTATCAGCATCTAGCAGCGTCAGAATAAGCCAAAGCCAGAACACGCTTAATTGGCAACGGTACTGTGCATTCAAGATCATTTATTTTCAACGGCATTATTCAAGACAAGATCTTCTAAGTATGGAAAGAATGTTATTGGCATTGAAACGGAATCATTGCTCCAACGTACAAATTCCAATGCTATATAAACAAGCTAATGAGGAATGGATTGGCTAATGCTCTACAAATTTCTACACGCCTAAAGCAATCATCACCATCCTCATTCTCACAGTTTGCTAAAGCTCTATAAATAATTATTCTATAGTTTTAGCATTCCAGTTTTTCTTAAGCTTAATTTGTGTAGTATCACAGTTGTGATAAACTGTTTTTGTAGAAACATTCATACACTCTCTTTGTTCATTATTTGTAAGAAAGATTTCCTTGAGAAACTGGATTGTGGTTTAAACTCAAGAAGGCTTTAGCAGTTGTTAAAGCAGTTGTAATATTCAGTTGAATATAGTGGATTAAGACCTCGTTGGAGAGAGGCGAAATCACCTTGACGGGTGGACTGGAGTAGTTTGAGATCAAACGAACCAGGATAAAAATAACGTGTTGACTGCAATAGTTTTTCAAGTTTTACAATTCAACCCCCTTTCTTGTGTTTTTCACTTCTTCAATTGGCATAAGAGCGCCTGGTTCTGAGCTAAAACACTTAACCGTGTCAGTACAAGATCCAGCGTCAGAAAAACACAAATGGCAGGAACATACCAACACAGCAGCAACGACAATAATGAAGATAGAGACAGATTCAGCGGGAAACCTCCAGTCTTTGATGGAGAGAATTTTGATTACTGGAAAGACAGAATCGAAAGCTTCTTTCTGGCACATGATGTTGATCTGTGGGACATGGTGACAGATGGATACACGCACCCAGTGAATGCAAGCGGTCAGAAGATTGACAGGAAAGCAATGTCTGATCAACAAAAGCGTGACTT